CAACAACCCCCGGTACCGCTCCAGGCTTACGTGTACCCTGCAGGTACTTAAAAGCTGCGTAGGTGAGGCGCTCGGGGACATGGTTTAGTGGTGGATTTGCAGTGCTGCGTTATGGTTGGACTTGGTGATCTTAAAGGCCTTTTCCAACTGAAAAGGTTCTCCGATTCTGATATACGGCAAAAATAAGGTTTCTGAAAGTGGCAAAATCCACTGAGTGATAAATTAGGAAAAAGAAGTGAAGCAAAATATGTGCTACTGGCGAAATGTGTGCTGATGCCTGTTGTTCACCTGGGGACACTTTGGTTGCTAATGGTTTCTTGAGTGGTAGTTGTCTTTCTCGTTAGCCAAGGACTTCTGCCCGCACGTGCATAGCTGCCGCCTTCACTCACTGGGTGAATGTGACAGTGAAGATGGGGAGGGGCAGAGCAAGTCATCCTGCGGGCGTAGCAAGGAGGATGAGCGTGCGCGTATGCAGCTGGTTTTGTGTGGTGTGGGTGGGATGCTGATGTTGGTGGGTTTTTTCATCATCTGTTTGCAGAGGAGTAGATGTCGTCTCTGTTTTCTGTGGCTTGAGAGGGTTTTGGGTGTTTTTTCACAGCTTTGCCATGGAGCTCATTGCTCTAATACCAGTGCAGAATTTTTCAAGGAGACTAGGATCTAGATTGTGTTGAACACTGGTTTTTACTTATTGACTTACTTATACGGGGTTTTTGTTTTTGTAAACTAAAGGTAAACCCGCATGATGGCAATAGCTGAAAACTGCACATTGCTGATGAAAGTCATGAAGCAGCTTCCCCAAGGGCCCTGAAAGGGTTAATGTTCCTCAGGAACCCGTTTTCTGCTGAAGCATTTCCTCCCACTGAGTCAGAATTAAATAATGAACTCTTTTTAGTGCTGGAGTGGGGGGGGCTGGTAACCCTCAGTTGGTGTGCAATTACCTTATTTAGGCATTGGTTCGGTTTCTCCCAGCAGCATGGCAGCAGCTCCGGAACAGAAAGATTGCATTACAAAGGAACGTTGTGGGGAAAACCGTCACTGTCTGCACTCAGCTGGGACTTCCTAGCTAGTAATTTCTGTTCCTTGGGGTGAGAGGGGTTGTAGGTCACAGCAAGACGATACTCAGGTGCTTGTGTGAGTAGGGGGCACTGTGCAATGCGTTTCCTGTGATGAATGCAGAGGGAAGAGCAGTAGACCCTGTAGCACCTTACGCTGCGTGTGCCGTCCGACAGCCTGCAGCAGCACGTCTGTCGGAACGCACGGGATGGTCTCTTGGCTCTTGGGTCGGGTTTTGCGGGTGGAGGTTGTAGCAGAGGAGATAGTTTCTCTGGCTGTTCTCCCCCACACCCTGGATAGGAGCCTCGCTACTGCCAGTGCTCCCGTGGGACTCCCTGGGCTTCCAGATGAGATCTGCCTATGAGACACGTTGGTCTTCTGAACCCAACAGCCCCAAGCCTGTCAGGGTCAGACCCGCCATCGGCGCAGCGTGGAGGGCACGCAAGGATGGGCTCACTTCCCAGGCCGGCACCAGAGCTCTTGGACACTGTCAGTTGTGGCTCGGTGTGATCACTCCTCCATACCAGAAGAAAAGGTCCATGTGCTCCATTGTATGAGGATTGTTGTCAGAGGAGCAGCAGTTGTGTTTCAGCGTTTATTTCCGCGCTGCCTACCGGAAGCTGTGGTGGGTGGGGGGAGCTGTGCTTGGCAACTGCTGCATCATTGTTCTTTGTGTATTTTGGGACTTGCTAAACACTTGTTTCTTTCCTGTTCTCCAAATTCTGTGTGTAACAGTACTTGATGGGATTTCTTCAAATCCCAGCCAAAATCCAGGATACTGCATGGTCGCTGCTCCTTGAGGAATGTGTTAAAGACTTTAACATAGCGTTGACCATTGGCGCATGCCCCAGGCCCCAGTACGTGCAACACTTTTTGCTTTGATAGTTTGTGCTGGCTCGTGGGCTTCTGACAGGGACAAGAACAGTCCGACGGGGTGTTAGTTACCCGAGTCTTCAGCTTCTGCACGCAGAAGTGCAGGGGCAGCCTCTGGGTTTAAGAACTCTGTAGCCACGTTCTGCTGAAGGCTAACAGGGGTTCCTAGAAAGTCACGTCCGCTTAGTGAGCACAGCTTTAGGACTAACCGGTACAAGGTCCTTGGCCTTGTGCTCCCTTGGCTTCTCAGAGTGATTCCCATTGGCAGAATTTCTTCTTCATTCTGTTTCCTGAAAAGATTTGGCTGGGAGGAGGCCTTGAGTCTGGCCATGCCATAGGAGTCTCCACTAGTCATAAATGCACATGATGCCCTTGTGCTGGAGTCAGTTAGAAAGACTGAAATGCTTCCTATTCCCTCTGATATGGAAAACTGCCATAGGCTGTTGCTGAGTTTGGGTTATGTTGCTCTGCAAAAACAGCGACACTTTCCTCCTCACACTCTGTATCATTTTTCTCATCGTATTCCCTTCAGGACACCCAGGATGAAACGGCTGTGCTCTGGCTAGATGAAATTCAGGATGGGATTCACAGGGCTAACAAGGACACAGAGGAGTCCGAGAGGTGTAAGTGTTGTCACGCATCATTGCAGTTAATCCCCGCTGTCAACCAAGTACTGCTCACTCAAGGAGAGGTTGGGAGCTAGGGATGTCATGCAAATGCTGGCAGCACCTGCCATAACTGAAGCAGATATCGGAGCAGAGCGAAAACACCACGTGTTGTTGGGAAGTCTGGGTGGTAAATCAGCCCCGTGCTGGGTGTTGGGGCACATGGGGGGTGCAGTCAGGTGTGGTACCACCTATGCTTGGGCATTCCTTACTGAAGAGGGCTCTGTAGGGCAAGTTGTCTGATCAGTTTTTATTTATGCTTTGGATCTGTGTACACATAAGTATTTGGATACATGCCTTGGCTGTGTGTCATTATGCTGCCTTGCTCTGTTCTGTCCTTTCGTGTTTGTTGTGAGTCACTGAGCACCTCAACGCCAAGGTAACCTGCTTCCTTGTGTTATCAAAGTCTCCTTAGGAATCCTGGCCATTAATGAAGCAGTGGAGCGTGGTGATGTTAGCCAGACCCTGAGTGCCCTGCGTTCACCGGATGTTGGGCTGTACGGTGTCACTCCAGAGTGTGCTGAGACGTACCAGCGAGAGCTGTCGGAAGTCAAAAGGAGAAAAATATCAGCAGGTGAACCTCAAGTAGCTGTTAATGAGACAAATTCAAGGTTATTGCGTGTGGAATGGGAACCAGAGGTGAAAAGGCCTCTGGGGAGAAGCCTTGTGTTAGAGATGGCAATTGTGGATGCTTTGTAGTAGAATGTTCTCCATGTACGGAATGTGTTGTGTTCAGGTGGTTCTTGTATGAGGGTCACTAGGGACTGGGAAACATTCCTTCTTTTGCTCGGAGGAGGGAGCACCTGTACTTGTGGATTTTCTAAGTTATAAGGTTTGTATGCTGGACAGGGAAGACGCTTTTCTGGTTCCGAGGCTGATATTGCGGTCTCTGCTCTCAGGGGGCAATGACAGCGAATGGGTGAAGCACTGGGTGCGAGGCGGCTATCATTATTACCACAACCTGCGGACAAAAGAGGGAGGATGGGATGAACCGGCGGAATTTGTGCAGAACGACAGGCAGCTGTCGCGCGAGGAGATACAGGTAGGGCAGATAACGTGCTCTTTCTCTGAAAAGTTGACATTCCTACTATCCCCACCCCTAATGCGGCTCTAAGAGAGAACACTTCAACACCACAGTCATATTAACAAGCGCAGCAAGTCATTTATTTCGCTGGGCATCATCAGATGGTGCGTGCCAAAGCTCTGTCCCGCTTCAGACAACTTCACCCTGTCGGTAAAAGGGCCCAGGACCTCGGTGTTGCTGTTTATTGAAAGGCAACTTGGAAGCTTCTCGTAAGCACAATGCAGAAGGCTCATGTAACGGCCTCTTTCTTGTATCTCCATTCTCTTTTTCTGGCTCTTACCGTAACATGAACCCAGAGCACCATATCCGGAGTCACTGCGGCGTACAACCGAGAGCAGTTGTGGCTAACAAATGAGAAACTGATTACAAAACTTTCGGCTTACAACCGAGGGCGTGTGTGGTTAGCCAATGAGAACCTGATTACAAAACTTCAGGCTTGCTGCCGAGGGTATCTTGTTCGCCAGGAATTCAACTCAAGAATGAATTTTTTGAAGAAACAGGTCCCAGCAATCACTTGCATTCAGGTAACGACATCTTTGAATCACGCTGGAAACTTGGACTCTGCCATCGTGTTCTGCACGCAACGTTGGTGACCGTTTCTGTTCAGTTCCAGTGGTTGCAGCACATGATGGTCTGCAGCTCGTTTTGCAAATTATCTAAAAGCATTTCCTCCTCCCAAAGAGTTACGCTTTGTTTACTTTTCCATGTCATATGTAATCAACACAGTCTTCTCGGGCAGAAAGGGAGAGAGAGGAACTTCCGTGAGGAAGCTTTACTGCTGTTGGAATAACGCTCTCTCCCTTGAAGTGCTGGCCGACCTCACTCAGTAGCAGAGTCAGCTCTGAAGGCTTATCCCCTTACATCGCTCTTCTCACCAGCAGCAACATCCAGCGCGTGAGCTTCACGTAGAACAGTTTCTGACCACTTGACTGTTCAGCTACGTCCTTGATGTGGCTGTGCCTCAGAAGACCCAGGCTTTTCATGGGCAATGTCAAGTCTCTCGTGGTGACAGTTGGTGAAATAGTTAATACTTCCTGCTGTAGGTTTCTAGGTGAGATAAGCACGTCTCACGTTTTACTTAGCCAAAAGGGAAGTCAGAAGCTGAGGAGCAGAAAGAAGCTCGGGTTTGTAATTACTTCTGTTTAATCAGAAAAAGTCAGTGTGCCTGTTTTCTGTTTTCAGTCCCAGTGGCGTGGCTACAAGCAGAGGAAGGCATATCAGATCCGTTTGGATTACTTGCGAGCACAGAAGGACCAAGTAGTGAAGGTAGCGAAGGCTCCCTTCTGATTTGTTTGGGAAACCTTTTGGGTGGTGAGCTTTGTAGGAAAGGTGTTCATCTGAGTATTTTGGTTACCCTTCTGTAGATTCAGTCGATGGCCAGGATGTATCAAGCCAGAAGACGTTACAGAGATCGCCTGCAGTATTTCAGAAACCATGTAAGAGGCTGGCTGGTAAACTGAATCCAGCACCTGACTTCTGTACTCTTTCCAGAATGAGGCCAAGTGCTTATTTTATTTTGTTTTAATCCTAGATAAATGATGTTATAAAAATTCAAGCCTTTATCCGAGCAAACAAAGCGCGAGAAGACTACAAAACCCTCAGTAAGTGTTGCCAAGAGGATAAAACTGATCTGCTTTGAATCTGCATTTACAAGAGATGCTGGTAGTGTGATGTGCAACATCGGGACAGTTTTGAAGAGCCTGAGGGATGAGGTTGGTGGGGTGGCGTGGGGAGGAGGGAGTTTGTGAGGCTGAAGGGAGACTCGATGCCAACTACTGCTTTAGCTGCTGAGAAGGAGAACTGTAGCTTTGCAGTTACTGTTGGTGTGGGCTACCCCAGCTGATGCTGACCCTGTTCTTCACTGGCGTCAGAAGCTGTTTAGACGTGGTGGTGCTAATTTTATTCAGGCTGTTCTTGATGTGCTGTTTAAACATGCCTAAGGCACATACTTCCTTCTGTTCCCCATCCCCTGATGTTTTCTTGCCCGTTTTTAGTTAACGCTGAAGACCCACCTATGGCTGTGGTTCGTAAGTTTGTCCACTTGCTCGATCAGAGTGACCAAGATTTTCAGGAGGAACTTGAGCTGATGAAACTGCGTGAGGAAGTTGTAACCCTGATCCGATCCAATCAGCAACTGGAAAATGACCTCAATCTCATGGACATCAAAATTGGACTGCTAGTGAAAAACAAAATTACACTGCAGGTAGGAAATGTGCTGATGGGCGACCGACTGCAGACTGAGCTGACTGAGCTCAGCGGTGTTTAGCGTGGAGAGCTGCTGGCCTGGGTGTCAGTTGCTCAGGCCCAGCAGAAAACCTTGTCCCCCAGACTTGCTGATTTTACTCCCATTCTGTTCTTACTCTGCTCCACTAATGTAGTGTGTCTCCCTAGAACGAAACGGAAGAGTAGAAAGAGAGGAAACAAGACCTGAAGCTAAAAAAGACCCTTCCCCCTCCCCCTCCCAAGACCATCTTGACTAATGAATTGCAGCAGGTTGTGTATTTGAAGGCTTCGAGGACTCTGGTCGCTTCTTTGCGGTTAAACAAGTGACATGCCACAAACTTGCAGAGAGGGGGTTGATTTCGGAGGCGGGAGACATGATCGTGCCACTTGGTGTTTGTTGGTTCAGGGAGGCCCTCGCTACTACTTGGCTGATGTGATGAACTTCACAAAGAAAAGTTCTTGCGGGTAGAGCGTTGCCCGTTCTTCCAGCAGAAGTTCACAGCTTCACAGAGTGGAAGGGCTTAGAAGGGACCTCTGCAGATCATCTAGTCCAACCCCCCTGCCAGAGGAGGCTCCCCTAGAGTAGATCACACAGGAACAAGTCCAGGCAGTGTTTGGAAGTCTCCAGGGACAGAGACTCCACCACCTCTCTGGGCAGCCTGTTCCATGCTCTGTCACCCTCACAGTGAAGAGGGTTTCCTCATGGTCACGCTGAACTTTCTATTGGAAAGTCTCCAGAGAAGGAGTCTCCACCACCTCTCTGGGCAGTCTGTTCAGGGCTCTGTCACCCTCACAGTGAAGAAGGGTTTCCTCATGGTCACGCTGAACCTTCTTTTTTCCAGTTTATGGCCACTGCCCCTCGTCCTGTTACTGGACACCACTGAGAAGAGCCTGGCCCCGTCTTCCTGACACCCACCCTTTAGATATGGATAAGCATTGATAAGTCCTGGACAGCTTTTCATTTGGTCATGGATGGAATGACATAAGGCTCCTCCCAGAGTAAAATCTCAATTGTAGTGAAACACATCTTGGAAGGAAGCGGCAGCTTTCGGGTTGGTGCTTGCAGCAGAAAGTGCTGTTGCTGTCAGAGTGTGCAGGGGCAGCAAGCTAGCTGATCGTGAAACAGAATTTTGAAGTTTTAAGCACATTTTAAGAAGGAAAACCTTGCTGGCATTGATGATATCTGCTGCCAAGAGTGACCCACCCTCCTAGGGTTTTGGAGAAATTCAAGAAATTAGGGACAAAGCAGAATATGGACTTCCAGTCAGAGAAATTGCTGCCATAGCAAATAATGCTTCCCTTGAATAGGCGCAGGCACGCGGTGACCCTGCCTTTCCCTTGACAAGAGAAGAGGGCTCTCGGATGCAACTGCTCTCCAGCGTTGCCTGTTAGAAAACACTCAGTGGAATCTGCCCCTGTTCCTTCTTTCCAGGATGTTGTTTCTCATAGCAAAAAACTTACCAAGAAGAACAAGGAGCAGCTCTCTGACATGATGATGCTGAACAAACAGAGGGGAGGTTTGAAAGCGTTGAGCAAGGAGAAGAGAGAAAAGCTGGAAGCGTATCAGCATCTGTTCTACTTGCTGCAGGTGAGAGCTGCTGCTGCTGCACACTCACCTCTTGGCACAGAGGCTGAGCCGTCTTGGCACGGTTGCTTATGTGCTGTAGCATGGAGCACTGTAGTTCTTAGCCACCCTGGCCTGTGAGGACGTGCACACTAAGTGATTTTTCTTATGTTTTAGACTAACCCAACATACTTGGCCAAGCTGATATTTCAGATGCCTCAAAACAAATCCACAAAGTTCATGGACTCTGTCATCTTCACGCTGTATAACTATGCATCCAATCTAAGAGAGGAATACCTGCTCTTGCGACTCTTCCAAACAGCGTTGCAGGAAGAAATCAAGTACGTGGTAGCATATGGCAAATTCTTGCTGTTGAATCAGTTTTGACAGTTCTCACATTGTGTCTCGTGCTAACGTGCAGATGATGCTAAACTGTCCCCCCGTTGTCCTCTCCCGTTTCCTGTCTGTTCTTGACGGAGTCTGGAAAGGAAGAGTTGAGAATGTCCGTGAAGGATGAGGGCTGTTTACTTCCGTTGGGATCTCACTGCTCAACACCGCAGCTACTTTTAATGGCATGCAAAGTCATCCTGAAGTTCAATCCAGTTTCAGTTCTGCAGTGTCTGGTTGTAACCATTCAACAAACAGCAACCTCGGGCCTGATGAGCCAGGAGCTCGCTCGCACTGAGCAGTCTGGCTTTCCCCAAGGTGATGAGGCTGAAACAGAGACTTTGGGGGTTGGCGTTTCTGGCTTTTGGCAGCACTGGGGTCTCTGGCTGCCCTCAGGCGTGCTGTGTTTGATTGCTTCCGCACAGTGCAGTGCTGCACAGCTTGCCCTGAAGAAGAACGTGCCATAGAGTTTTTGGTGAACTACTTCTAAGCGTTCTTTGGAATGCGTTTTTAATCACAAAGGTGGTATGTGCCCTGAAACACAGAATGACTTCTGAAAGAGATCTTTCTTCCCTTAAATTCATGCTTGGAATAGGAGTCCAGGGAGACGTAGATGCTTTGTTCTCTGACAACGTATTTCACGTAGCGTTCCACTAGGTGTGGATTTTGTTGTTGATTGCTTGTTTTCGTACTTCAAATACAGGAAGAAACCTGCTGTTCTTTTTCTTCTCTTTAAAAACTTGCCCTGTTTCCTTTGTGGTTTTGAGCTGTGCTCTCAAACACAAGGTACAGTTGGATCTGCAGTAACTGTCATTGAGGTGATCACTGGCAAGTTGCGGTGGAATTCCCAGACAACAGTCCTAAGTTTCATGCCTCATCAGCCTTGGGTAGTGTTCTGGTATTGTTCTTACGTAGTCTTGTAATTTATTCCTGTATCGAGATTTTAGCACAAATCCATCATCTGTTTGGTGCAGGTGATGCTCTTGAACAGGTCGGTTTATGCTGGCAGATGTATCTAGAGCTAACAGAATTATGTGTACCTCATTTCATTTTTTTCTTCTTCAGATCAAAAGTAGACCAAATACAGGAAATCGTGACTGGAAACCCCACTGTTATTAAGATGGTGGTAAGCTTCAACCGTGGTGCACGTGGTCAGAACGCCCTGAGGCAGATCCTGGCACCAGTTGTAAAGGAAATCATTGATGACAAGGCACTCAATATCAAAACGGATCCGGTGGACATCTACAAGTCTTGGGTTAACCAGATGGAGTCTCAGACTGGTGAGGCCAGGTATGGGAACTCTTACTCCTGTGTTTTTCTGACCATTGCTGGGCTACTTGGTGCTGCTTGAGTGATCATTCCAAACCACCCTTGACCTCACAGCCTGCATCTGTCCAACTGTACCGGCTTTTCCGTCTCCTCAAGGTGGCTTTCATGCGAGACTTCTAAAGATCACGTTCTAGCAGGGTGCTGAGGGTATTCACGGGGAATCTCATTAGGAGATGGAAGAAGTAATTCTCTTGGTGTTTGCCTGTGTTGATGAGACAATTACAAAGAAAAAGCAGTTGGGAATTGGTTCTGTGTCAGTCTCTGTTCCTGTCATGCAGAGCCTGTGCAAACTTGGCTGCTATTTGTTAGCCAGTAAAACTGCTTTTGCTGCAGGAGGAGCATGACAATGCAGTTTTTAGTCCTATCGTCTTTCTCATTAATACCAGGCACTGATGACAGCTGAACTGTGCTAGATAGTGTTGTGTCCTTCGGCTTTCTTTTTCTTCCAGTGCATGTTTGTGTGCTAGAACCGGAAGTTTCTGTTGTGTTGGAATGTTTGTTTTGGTTTTTTTAACATACTTTAAAAAAAAAAAAGCCCCAGAGATGAGTGAATTTCCCTGTTCAGAGCAGTCTGCGGCCCTGCGTGGTGCTGCACACCTGGTTTGCAGTTGTGGAGGTGTTAAAGATGCAGGCGAAGATGCGTGTTCGGTCCCTCTCTGTACCGGTAGGCGCGTTCACGAATTGCCCGTTTCATCTCTCTGTCCTCACCAGAACGCTCTGCAGTAATTTCAGCTGGTGTGGAAAACCTAACTGCTCCTTTGGCACTGCTTCCCACAGTGGCACGCTGTGTTAGTTTTATGGACGCTGTTGTAGCTTTTGGCTTGTGTCCAAGCTTTATCATCTCAATGTTCAAGTGTGTAGTTTGCTCTGTCACTGGTTTGTTTGTAGCCTGAAGTGCCGCTGCACGTCGCAGACGGCACCTTTTGCCTAGTGTGCCTGCTGCAAAAGAGAGCTTGGAGCTAGCTGGGCCTTCTCCCACTGTGGCTGTGCAAGGGAGAGTAGAGGAGGGAAAAGCAAGAAGTCTTCAGCTCTTCCATTGCCTAAAGGGTTAATTGAAGGCAATGCACAGCTCTTGTCAGCCAAGTTGAATATGACCTTGTTTCCATGTCCAGCTAAGAATTCTGGAAATAGGCTAGCCTGAGGAATACTCACCTTCATGTGTTTGACTTTTTCAAATAGCAAACTGCCGTATGATGTTACGCCGGAACAAGCTCTAAATCACGAAGAGGTGAGGACCCGCCTGGATGCCTCGATCAGAAACATGAGGACGGTGACAGACAAGTTCCTGTCTGCCATTGTTAGTTCAGTGGACAAAATCCCGTGAGTCCAGTGCACCACTGTGCTATCCCTGAGACGCTGTGGCTGGGTTCCTGCTTGCAGCCATCTTACTTGCCCTTTTCTTTCTCTCGAAGTTACGGAATGCGTTTCATCGCCAAGGTACTGAAAGACTCCCTGCATGAGAAGTTTCCCGATGCTGGCGAGGACGAGCTGCTGAAGGTGAGGATCTGAGCGCCGCTGTGAGTAGTTGCCAGCGATTGGCTGTGGCAAGCACATCTCCTTTGCCGTCGCCGGACATGCGTGTGGAGGGAAGTGCACGTAAACCCGTGTGAGGCTGGCTTACTTCCCTCCGCGGGGAGAAAGTGGTTCACACTGGGCTTTTGGTGGTCAGCTTCATGTACATCACCCGAGATGGAAAGTGTTGCTCAGAAGGAGATATCCGATGGCTTCTGCTTTGCTTTTTGTATCATGGGCATTTCATCACGTAGGTTTCTTGCTCGGGGTACCCTTACCTCTGGAAAGTGAACCCTGGTTTGGCCGGCATGGTCCCAGCCAGCTGCACCTTCTAGAAGAGACAGTGTCAAGTTAAAAAAGTCTGGATGCAAAATTCTGATATTCCTGATTCCGCTGTCTGTGACACTAGGCTATTGTGACAGCACCATGCAGAGTTACTTTCCGTGCCGTCGAGTCAGTTTTGTCTTTTGCATTTCAGTAGGTTTGGGAACTAAAAGGATTCTAACAGGTGGCGCTCTCAGATGACTACAGCTTTGAGGTTGTCATTGAAATGTCCTTGGGTTCATGGCTTTTGGGAACTGTGAAAGCCTTTATGACCATGAATACCTGGCTCGTTAATGAAACAAAGTTTGTACCTTAGAATACTTGACAACTTCTCTTTCAACTTCTCTGCCTCTGCTTCGTTACAGAGTAATTGCCAATCTGAATGCTGTTTTCTTCTCTCTTCTAGTTCTCTGCTTTCCCATTCTGAGACATCGATTCTTTCTGTGCAGGTGAACTACTTTCTTCCATCGATAAATTTAGGTGGAAAACTGCAGCTCTTGTTAAACCTGGTGAAAACAATGTAACTGTCCACATGATGGTCAGACCTGCAGTTCTGGGCAGTGACTACTTTTAGGGGTTTTGTGGGGTTATTTTCTGTAGCAGCCCAAGCTGCGCGTGTACATATTGTTCTTTCCTCCTCAGAAGTTTGAAAGTTGTTAATATGGTTTCTTTCACAGTGTTTTCTTATTGCTGGCCATAACCAGCTTTGACCGTTGTCACAGCACGCCACAGTCTGTGCGGGTACAGCAGGGGCTGCGTAAAACAGCTGTCAAAACCACAACCCCCGAAAGCGGTTCATGCTTCTGGGGTGCTTGGCAGTGGCCAGATTTTCTCTCTGTTCTCAGCTGTGTGCTCAGGCCCTGATAACTTCCAGGCATTGAGCAGGCTAACCCAAGGTTGGGTGACCTGCTAATTTCTGTGAGCCACCAGCGAACACTAGGGCGTGCGGAGTGAGAACGGTCGCTTTGGTCTGCACGTGGGGTTCCTTCCCTTTCACTGCTGGTTTGCCAAAGTGGCACACCCAGGTTAGAGGTGCCTTTGTGAGCATATGGTTGACATGACATCGCTGGGTTTGGTTCCGTGGTTACTGCTGCTCACCTTCGACTGGGTGAATTGGCTTGTGATGTGTCAAATGCCATTTATCTTCTGTACTTCTGTTTTTCTGATCTCTGGAATAAGTGATTTCCCGGTTACTCCCACTAGCTTTAACTGGGGGTCTGTGCCTGAAAATGTTGCTGGGTTATCAAAGAATTTTTCTGAAAGAGAAAAGGGCTTTGAAGAAGGAATGGAAAGTAGTTTCTTCTGTGCGGCTCCCTTGTGTGCCGTGCTTCCTCACCATTTTTGCTTCATGGGAGATGGTGTCCACTTCTGCCCACTCGGCTAAGAGTTCCTCTCGTTCCGTGTGGGAACCGCATTGTCGGGCTCCTCTGTACCACACTCCCTCTGCCCTCTGTTAGACTAACTCAGGTATGTCGAGTTCCCCTGAGAGATTGGTGTGAGCCTGTATGAGCAGTCTGTCGGTAACTTGTACGATCTGGCCGTACATTAGGGATGTAAGTCCTCACGCATTGGGGTGTCTGCTGCTGTGCTCTCCTGTGAGCCGTAGCGCGCAGCCGTCCCGCTGCGGTGACCATCCTATTGCATCTTTGTGATTTTTTTCTTTCACTGTAGATTCTCTGAGACAGTTTGTGCCTGTGTACAGCAGCACAGCGTAGCCCTTGGCTGGCAGGGGCCTCTGAAGAGGCTTACAAGAAAAGAGTTTACTAAAGCACAGCCAGAGTAGTTCAACAACATCCAGTTGCCTCCTATTTCATTCTGTCTTGACGCATCTCTTCTCTGCTCAACTTTTCCCAGATTGTTGGCAACTTACTCTATTATCGCTACATGAACCCGGCCATTGTCGCACCGGATGCGTTTGACATCATTGACCTTTCGGCCGGAGGTCAGCTGACCACGGATCAGCGCAGAAACCTGGGTTCCATCGCAAAGATGTTGCAGCATGCTGCGTCCAATAAGATGTTCATGGGAGACAATGCGCACCTCAGCATCATTAACGAGTACCTGTCGCAGTCGTACCAGAAATTCAGGTAGAAGCCCCTAGCTAATGCAGTTGGGAAGTTTGGCAGAGGGTAACATTGCCAGTAAAAAGGGATAATGATACATCTCAAATATGATAAAGTATAGCTCTGCCAGGCGGTCTGTTGAAAATAAGAGGTTGCTCTCCAGATGACCGGAAGCATCAGTGGCAGCAGCAGATAAAACGTGTATCTGGGCTTTGGGAACAAGGCGTGGATGGGATTGAAGTCAAGTGTTTTGACTCAGGACTTTCCAGAGTAAAGGTTGCTCTTACACGTGTTTATTGTGATACTTTCTGGACATGGACAGTGGGAATGGGTGTCCATGCTTCTGTCCCGTCTGGCTCCCCGAGAAAAGGCAGTGGTGCGGAGGGGGGACTCAGGCTGGCGTTTAAGTGTTTGTGTAGCTGAAGTAGGTTTTGTTCAAGAGTCGTCATCCTACACCTCTCCTGTTTTGGAAGAAAGGAAACCCGAGGTTTCTGGGCGCAGGGGGTGTTGCTGCAGCGGAGGCTGGAGGATGTGTGATCAAGGTCATGGGGGCTGTAGGCCCGGCCTGTGAATGCTGAGAAGGAGCTGGTGTCAGCAGTGGGGTTTACTGGGTTACTCCTGATGTGTTAATCTAAAGCTGACGAGCTGTCGTGTTCCATACCATAGCTTAAAGAGGAGACGCTACGTTTGGGATTGTCACGGGGAGTTAATGCTCACGACAGATCACATGACTTTTCTTTTCCCCCCCTTCTTTCCAAAGACGTTTTTTTCAGGCTGCTTGCGAGGTTCCTGAATTGCAGGATAAATTTAATATTGATGAATATTCTGACTTGGTGACTCTCACTAAACCCGTCATTTATATTTCTATCGGTGAAATCGTCAATACGCACACTGTAAGTATACAGCTCACACGTGCTCCTTATAAGCAGTTCCAAGAGAGAAAATGCTGCCTCTGGCTGACAGCTGCAAGGCTGAAAGGTCTTTGATTGTAGTGTGCAAGAGCTCATTAGTTTATAGAATTAAGTAATTTGCTTGCAGCTTCTCTAGGTTTCTTTTGAAGGTATTTGGGTATGTGAGGATAGCGCGGCTCTGAGCGTTGATGGTACTGCTTTGGAGTTCAGTGAAATGAGATCTTTTAGGAAAAGATACGGCTCAAATGACTGTAGTTCTGCTCTCCGGGAAAGGATTCGTGATTGACAACTGAAGTGTTCCTCTGTTCATCCAGCTGCTGTTAGACCATCAAGACGCGATCGCTCCTGAGCACAATGATCCAATTCATGAGCTGCTGGACGATCTCGGAGAGGTTCCTACGATTGAGTCCTTAATAGGTGGGGTGGTTTATTGTACTTCAGAAATAATTACCTTAAATTATGTGAAATGCAGTAAAGAAATGAAGGAATCGTCACGGGTCATTTGGGAGGACGCACCCGAAAAAGCAGCAGCAGATTTGCTCGGGTGTGTTCTGACCACAGGACATGTCATCCTGGAAAGAGCAGGGGGCGTTTCTCTCCTCCTCCCCACACCCCCCTTGCCTCACCCTGCTCCAGAGGTTTCTAGAAGACGGATATTTTGATGTGTTTTCTTCGTTCCATGACGCTGCAGCCATTTCCCAGTGTGTGTGTCCCAGCTTGTCTGCAAAGATCTGTCCTCCGTTCTGGAGCTGCAGCCGCGGTTTCTGCGTGTGGCAGTGCGTGTGCTGAATGACATGTGTGCCTGTGGGCAGCCTTGGCCTGTGGGCAAGTATCTTTTTGCCCTCCTTCAGAGCATTTTTATACGTTACGAATTTTATGCCTTTTTATTCTGGCTGATGGAGGAAGGAGCTGACCTCGGTAATCTGTGACAGTTTTCTAAAAACCTGGGGTCACTGCCTCAGGGTACGAAAAACCACTGGGAAGTTGCACAAGCCTCTCTTCTTCCTTGGTTTCTGCGTTGCAGCTGGTGGAAGCATGGAATGTGATGTGTGGGGGGGCGTGAACGGACAGTTTGTGGAGAGGGTGCTTTGATGGCAGAATGCTCATCTCGAAGTTGCTCTCGAAGCAGCCATCACCAGCGTTTTCTTCCAAGCGCTGGCAAAGAATGGAACATTAAATGTGTTATCTGGGTGATCCTAGACCTTGACTTTAACTAGAGCTTACCTTCCTGCCCCATTTCTTCTCCATGTGCATTGTATCAATGTGGTAATGGGTCAGAGTTCTATCTTTCTGCAGAAAAAAGCATCCGAACAACCGTTCTGATCCAAGTTCAGGCAAGTAGAGCAAGAAAATGACAGGACGGGTTCCTTTGTTTAACAGAAGATTACAAACTTGACTCCTAAGAAGGGCTTTGCTCTCTGCTTGGAAAATTCAGTCTAATGAGGACATGAATGTAGAGGCGTGGTCGTACTTCTATTTTTGAAGTGGTTTTGTCAGGTCAGAGCAGAGAGTGAAATGCTGAGATGCCGTGCGGGACACCCGCATCTTGGGGGCGTAGCACCAGTGATGCTGCGGTGCCGTTCTGGCCGGCGCGTGCGCTCCCTTTTGTGACGCATTAAGGCTGATGTTTATAAAAGCTTGGGTTTTGCTTTTGAAGCGTCCTTTTGACAGTGCAGGTCTGTGGGCTGTTAGTAGGGAAAAACTGCAAAGCTCTAGCAGTCAGGAATGTAAAGACTGTGGTTTAATCCATGAACTCTGCTCGGCAGGGGAAGGGGCCGGCAGTGTTAACGACCCCAGCAGGGAGATGCTAGCGAAGACTGAAGTTTCTCTCACACTCACTAATAAATTCGACGTTCCTGGCGATGAGAATGCAGAGATGGATGCGAGGACAATTCTGTTGAAGTAAGTGAGGGATAACTACCTGGTGTGTTCCTCAAGAAAAAGAGGAACCTGAATTTTCATAGTTAATTTCATGTGAAAATAAGAGATTCAAGGTGTAATTCAAACAAACGGGGGACTGTTAACTCCAAATACACTGAGTTTGTGTCCGCGTCCCTTCAACCCTGCCGCTGTTTGGTTCACTCCTGTCAGTCCTTTGTCACTGTTGAATTTGTCATTCTTTAAAAGTCCATCTCGGGTGCCTCTGGAGGGGAAAACTGCCAGAAAAGAAAACTCTCCGGACATGAGTGGTGTGGCAGCAGCAGTTGGATTTGCCTGTGTGTGGGCTGCTGCTTGACGCAGCCTTTGAGCGGGTTCTGTCTGCACCCTGTCAGCAAAGTGGGAGATGACGGGAACTGGTATGCTCTCCCCGTAGCCATCCCCTGTCTGCAGGAAATACTTGCTCAGGATATCTTTGCTGTTGCTGCTCTCCTCTTTCAGTTCTTTGGATCGTAGAATGGTTTGGGTTGGAAAAGGCCTTTAAGACCATCAAGTCCAGACATTACCCCAGCACTGCCAGCCCACCCTAACCCATGTCCCTGAGCACCACCTCACTGTTTCTGACACAAGCCAGGATGGCACTGGACCCCTTGGCCACCTGGATGGTCCCCTGCCCTTGCTCTCGCTGGCTCCCAAGCCTGGCTCTCAGCAGATGAACACTAATAGCCTTTTTGGCAAATAGAGGTTCCACTGGCCTAATGGAAGGAGCAATGGACTGTGAGGGATTTCTTTATTGCTGGACTCTTTATTCCGGAGGGGTTAGTACCGATATTGACTCTTGTCCAGTTTTAAGGAAATCCCTGTTGCTGAGGGCTGGAGCAGCTACCTGACATCCAGGTGCCTATTGCCCCACTCCGTGTTCCTGCTCAGATGCTGGAGAGTTTAACTGGGAATTCTTCGGGTCAGCTTACACTCGGGCCGGACAGAGCAGTGATCTCCCAGGAGAAAATCTTGTTCCCAAAATCACTGAAAATTAACTGGGCTTCTCAAGAGATACATCAGCAGCCAAGTACCACACGGGCACGCGCTTTCCCCCCCGCCCCGTTCTGGCTGAGGTGCTGGGCATACGCATCATGCTGTGGAGCCATTTGATCCCTGTCTCAGGGCACTGAAGTGCACTTGGGGATGGCTGTTACAGACTCTTTCTGGCTGCTCAGGTTGGCTGGTGCTGCTGCCAGCTTCACCCTTCATCATGGATTTGCAGCTTCTGTGCTCCACGTGGCCGTACTGCAGCTGCCTTGGAGTGCGTGTCCTGCCATTTGAGGGAGTGCCCAGGAGCAAATCCTGTGTGCTACATATGCGAACCTTTCAGGAAAGCGGGTTCTAGTAACAGACTGTTGGAAAAGTAAAGTGCTCCTGGGGGATCTGCTCTGTTCGGCCTGTGACCGCCTGAGCGCGCGTCCAAGGGTGATCTGCCCGTACGTGAAACGGTGCTGCTGATGTTACTGCAGAATGGAATGGTATTGAAGGTCTTCGAGTCTGAAGTTTTTTCTCTTATTCTCCCCAATTTCTTTGTAGCACAAAACGTTTAATTGTTGATGTGATCCGCTTCCAACCAGGGGAGACGCTGACGGAAATCTTGGAAACTCCAGCTACCTCAGAGCAAGTATGAAGTTGTTTGCCTGCCTTCTGTTTAGACAAGGGAATTGTCATCTGTCATTGTCACATGTGTGGGCGTACTTGGGAATCTGCGTTTATGTCGGGCAGTGAATCTGCCTCCACTGATGCTGGAGCAGTGCGGGACGATACTGAGGAGGGCATATAATGGAAAGAAATTGCATATGTGAATCCTACTCCTCTGGTAGTTGCTAGAAACTGTCTAGAAGACTGTTTTAAATGGCAGGTAGGCGGCTTCTAGCTCCCTTGTTTGGCATGTGTTCATCAAATGTGGATTCATTGGGTCGGTACGGGAATGACCAAAGAAAACCCCTTATCCTGTGTTATACCAGAGGTTGGACAATCTGTTTCTGGTTCTTTGTGACCTTAAAATTGATCCACTTATGAACGTGTAGCGTTGCGTTTTCTTTTTCTAGGAAGCGGAACATCAACGAGCTATGCAGAAACGGGCCATTCGTGACGCTAAAACTCCCGATAAGATGAAAAAATCTGTGTCTGTCAAGGAAGATGGCAACTTAAATCTTCAAGAAAAGAAAGATAAAATCAAGACAGGCCTGAAGAAGCTGACAGAACTGGGGTCAGTGAATGCAAAGAATAAATACCAGGAGCTAATCAATGACATCGCAAAGGTACGCCAATCCTCACTTTCTTAGTGATCCTAGTGGCGTTTCCCCACGGTTTGCAGCGTTGTGAAATGTGGGAGTTTTTAGGAGGACGAACTTTTGTAGTAGCTAGTTTACAGACAGGAAGCGTATCTTCTGCCGTAGAGTTTCCACCTCTGGGCATTTGGGAAGTCCTTCATTTTTAGAGGATGCTTGTGTTTCCTCGAGTGACTGTGGTGCCGGAATCTCGGGCACTTGAAGGAAAAGCGTTATGGTCCTGACGTGTGATCTTTTCTTTTCTGCCTCTTCTCACTAATTTAAGTAGCTCCTCTACAGGCTTAATTCACACAAGGAAGTTTTGCCCCTTGGTTAAAGACGTGGTCACAGTTACTGTTATTTAAATGCACCCACTCAAGAATACCTACAAGATAAAAGGGGTAGGCTGAGGAAAAAACATGCAGAAGTGATCTCACTGTTGTACATTTCCACGGAGACAGAGTATTTTACATCATGTGTTTACTGAGAAACTGTTTGGGAAATGTGATATATGTAAAGTGAATAAATAACTTCATTTAGGGATCCAAGTAGAATTAATCATACTGTCATTAGTGTGAATCAGCAATGAAAATGGACGTTGAACACGTGATGCTTTTCATTGAGGTGCGAAGGTGATGTGTGCTTAAAGGTGGCCAACTGACAAAGATTAAGGAGGTGCGTGCTGCGTTAGCGCCCCATTTGGAGACACCTTTCCTGCCTGGTGGGGGCAAAAGCTGCTGCCCTCCTTTAGGGTGCGTACTGGCAGTGCCCGCTCTAGTCATTGCAGCCAGGTCAGTGCTGAAGTTGGAGGAAGCACCAAAAAGTTCCTCTGAACCACTGTGTAGGGGTGGGTGGTTCTAAAACCAGTAAACCCAGAGAGTAAGTGGTGATGCCTAAACTGGGGCAGGTGCAACTGAGGGGTCCTGCATGCAGCATGAAGCAGGACCAAGCAAAATCAAATGGTGTGTTTCAAATGCTCTGTGCTCTGGGCCTGATGTTAAGCCTCTCCCCGTCTTTCTCTGCGGCACAGGATATCCGGAATCAGCGCCGATACCGCCAGAGAAGAAAGGCGGAGCTGGTGAAGCTGCAGCAGACGTACAGTGCGTTGAACTCCAAAGCTACTTTTTATGGAGAACAAGTGGATTATTACAAAAGCTACATCAAAACCTGCCTGGATAACCTGGCCAGCAAGGGCAAGTGAGTATCTCGGAACCGTGCCATGGCCCCGGAGTGCTGCTCGCAGCAAACACGTGTAGGTTGTTGCCAAGAAAAATGATAATGCTGTCTGCTCAAAGCTCCTTGGCCAAGCTCTTCACCGCAGCGCTAGCTCTAGGGAAAGGGTCTCAGCAGCGGAGGGACAGTGTGGGGAGAGGGCTTTGCCCCGAATGGGGTCAAAGACATACTGGGGAGAATTTTGGCCTCTCTGGGAGAGGAGAGTGTAGAGAGTCTGGTGGGAATGAAGCAGGTTGCCCCGATGAGGCATGTGCTGCTCAGTCTGTCCTGTTATCCCTTCTAGGAGCAGAGAATGACAACAGTAGTTACCTAGAAGGAAGGCATTGCTTGGGAGTTGTCCTGTCTTGATCCTGAATGGAGTCAGTTGTTGTCGTACAAGACAGTTCAGATTTTCCTGGAAAAAAACATATGTCTTCCTCCCCAGTGAGAATGTGGGAAGAGCAACTGCCAGTGAAACCCGAGGCTGGAAAGTTGTTGAGTAATCTCCATCTTCATTGAGTTAGTTGCCCCCAGATCCACTTTTGCCTAAAGCCAGGAAGTGCTGCTGTCCATGAAGGACCATGTAGTTATGTTTTAGGGGTTGTTTTTTACCCTTTTTTTCTGCCCCTTCTCCTGGAGCATAACAGTTATTGGGAAGTAGTAGAAAATCAAAGATCCAATCCAAGCTACAAGTGCTTCTAGCTAAACTGGTAGAAATACGTTGTCTGCTGCGTCAGTCGCAGTTGGTGAGAGAAACTGGTCCTGTGCCCTCATTCACGCAGGATTAAGTGTTTGCTGTCTGAAATACCTTGGCTCACTTAGCTGATGGCGTTGGTTTGGTTTTGGTTGGTTTTTGGCAGGGTCTCTAAGAAACCTCGGGAGATGAAAGGCAAAAACAGCAAGAAGATTTCTCTAAAATACACAGCAGCTCGGCTCCATGAGAAGGGGGTGCTTTTAGAGATTGAGGATCTGCAAGCTAACCAGTGAGTATCTTTTAAAATTCCTTAGAGCTAAATAACCTCCTCGGGAGAGGAAGAAGACCAGGTGTGGTGAATTCTTGCCCCTTTTCCGAACTGCTCTGGGGGTGGCAGTCACGGAGCAGAAGCGCCGAGATTTGTTTGAGATGCCGACAGATTGTCTTGCGGTTTTGTTCCTGGGGTTCAGCGTTGTTGGTAGACTGAGCTGTTGAAGCCAGAGAAGTTGTTTTGGCGATCTAGGCTGGCGTCCCTGGGGCCAGAAAACTTTGCATGGTGTTCACTTTTCAGTTCTCTTTTTATCTAGTTGAAGCGAAGCAGGTCCTGGAGAAGTGTAAGAGGAGTTAAACGTGACCCCGCCAGTTGTGGAAGGTCCCTCCTCAGGTGAATTGGGACTGCGGTTAGCAGCTCTCCCTGTGGAAAAATCACTTTAACGCCAGCTTGAGTTTGTCCGGCTGCAGTTTGCCAGCCCTGAGAACTTGGCATATCTTCTGTGGAGTGCAGAGAAGCTTCCTGTTACTGATTTCCCGCCCCCACCCGAATCATATTTTGTGCACTAAATGAAGCATGAGTGGGCAGCACTGAAAGAGACTGCAGGGGCTAAATTACCCTATTTCCTGCTACGCTGGTGTGGAGGGGTGATTTATTAGACGTAGAATCTGTTAGGCTTCCATTCATTGTTGTATTGAGCCTGGTTGGCTTTCATGGTGCCATTCCAAACAGGGGTGTAGAATAGTTAAGAACAGGATTCTTAGAAAATCATCTTCAGATTTCATGTCATGTATTCTCTCCCTGTTTCTGCAGGAGTTATGTGCTCAGTACTGAACTGTGGTTTTTCATGTCTCAAATTTAATAGGTTTAAAAATGTGATATTTGAAATCAGCCCAACAGAAGAAGTGGGAGATTTTGAGGTAAAAGCAAAATTCATGGGGGTACAGATGGAAACCTTCATGCTGCATTATCAGGTAAGAACTGTTCTGGTCAGTAATGACATCTAAGTCATTATGACATCTGACCGCTTGCCAGACTCTTTGCAGATGTAATGACGGCATGTTGTCTGCCCAAGCACTCTGACAAAAGCTCTCAAAACCAACCCGTTTGTTGCAGGCGAAACAGATGTGATGCCAACGGGGCTTCAGGCCGCTCGTTTCTCTCCTGCGGAGGGCCTGGTCTTGGGCCGTCCTTAGCCACAAGTCCACGTGCGCACGCAGCGAACGCGCACTTGTGACAACGTCCCGCTACAGCGGCCAGCTCGGGGGTCGGCTGGGGACTTCAGTCGGTCCTCGCCTGTGGGAATGCTTTTTGCCACCCTGTGCACACCGCCGGCATGCGTGTACTGACAGACCTTGTCCTGACAGTTCCCCCTTCTCCTTCCCGTGCCAGCACTGTTGTGCCTGGTGTCTCTCTTCCCTTCTCCCACTTCTGTCTCTGCCTGTGCCCCACCGACCTCGGGTGTCGTTAGGTGGCTGCCTCGGGGGTCTCCAAACAGGTTGTCTGCAGGAGCCCTCGCGTTGTGGTACATCCGTGCCACCTACGTGGCTGCTTGGCAGGGACAGCTGCCTTGTACGTGCCCCGAGGTCTCCCCTAGTTCATTCCTGTTCCTCACCTGGTCACGAACTTGGTTTGTGGGGCTACCCGAGGTCACTCGCTCCTCAGGCGCGTGTTGCTGTACCGCTCTGCCTCTGTAGCACTGCTTCACAGGAAAAGCAGATGTTCCGGGCGGCCAGCAACGAGGGAACTGCCGTTGGTCGTCCAGGTACTGCGCTGGCCTGGGCGTCAGTCAGAGACTTGCATTGCCAGTGCCTAAGTTTGTACGGAAAGCGGCAGAAACAGCTCTGCGACTGTTCACTCCAGTGTCACACGGGCTAGGCAGCTGCAGGAGGCAGAGTCAGCTTTTGCAGCACAGACGTTTCCCTGCAGTAGTACTGCCTGAACACCTGCCCCCGCGGGCATCGGCCTGGAGAGACTTGCTGGAAGAAATGAATCGCTGAGAGAAATCGGTGCGGGGAGTCTGTGTGCCGTGTCAGCACATTGCTGACAGGAGCCAGGCGTCACTGGAGATTCGCCTATGTGAGCACCCAGGAGACCGAGTCAGTGTCGTGCACGTAGTCCTACCAGCAATGCGGTTTCTTTCTCTGCCCGGCGTCACAGTGCTCTAAACCACCTCTCTGAGACCTCTGGCCGCTGAGATTTGTAGAAAGTGGCGCTGCGGGACGTTGACATGTTGCGTGGGTACAGAACAGAGTCAGGCATGTGGCAGAGCCTTTGTAAGTATTACAGCAACTTTGTGGCTGCTGTGCAAATGAAAAGCCTGGAGATGGCTAGATCTGAAATCTGGCTTTTAGAATGGTTTTCTTTTTCTGCTGCCTGCTGTAACTTTTTAAAATAAACCCAGAGTAAAAAATGAAGATCTTAAATGCCTTAGAGCAACTTTATTTTTCATGCGGTACAAGCAGATCTTTAACGCGTGTGGTTTTTCTATCTTATGCTGTGCATTTTGTGATTGATATTCCTCACTAACTTCCGGTACCACGTCTTGTATATCCTCCAGAAGTTCTTGAGGATCCCTGGCTCATAAAAGTGTTCTCTTTGGCAGGACCTTTTGCAGCTGCAGTATGAAGGCGTCGCGGTCATGAAGTTGTTCGACAGAGCAAAAGTGAATGTCAACCTTCTCATCTTTCTCCTGAATAAGAAATTTTATGGGAAGTAACGGACCTCTGCCAGCAAGGGGTGATGAACAGAAACCTGCACATACAACTTCTGGTGACATAGCTGCCTATCAGTGTATGCCCGTGCTCTGCTCAAATGCATCAGACGTGTCCTGGAGGAGGACTGTGGGTTGACAACATTGATTGAGTCTGCAGGAAGTTGGTGTCTCGTTTATTTATGATCTTTATCTTCAGCTTTAAAGGTCCCCTGAAAAGGAGTTAATTTAGAATGTATTTTTACATAGAGCTGGGGATTAAACCAATATTGGAGTGTCCTTAGGGCACCTGGATGCTTTATTTGCCCAATTGCATGCTTCATAAGGCTTGAATTCTTGTTGCCTGTGCAAAGAGAAAGACAGCACTGTACGGCGGTCAGTTTGCCTTGTCCTGAAAGCAAAGAAAGGGTTGCGGATTGTGTTCAGACTCCATTTACTCTCTAACAGCAATCACCAGAATCAAAAAGGCTCGAGGTCCAGGTCACCCGTTTGTTTGCCAGCTGGCGGTGGCGGCGGCAGCAGCGGGCAGTTCCCAGCGTGGGACTCCTGCAGTTACGGGGCGTCGGTGAGCGTCCTACACGGCTGCTGGTGGCTGTGTCCTACGGCCGCCTAGAACCGCTTTAAGGCCTTTGTTGTCACGGTCGGTTTCTGTTCATCACGCTGTAATAACTTACAGGTGGCCCCTTAAGTGGAGGGACCCTGGAATGTATTTCCTCATGCTTACAGGGCTTTTGGGGAAGGGGAGGGAAACTTCTAATGTTTTTGAGTTGTGCTAACTGCTAATGTCGCTTCGCAAAGCACTTGAAATGTCAGAGTGATGTTTCTCCCAGTCTGGGGCGGTGCTCTGTGTATCTTATCTGGAGCGGTGAGTGTTGGGCTCTGCCTGCAGACCTGCCAAAGGACGACGACTCTGCAGTAGGGCAGCTTCTCAGAAGTTAAATGTTTGTAGTTACATTCAAGTTCCCGTTTCCTTTACCACTTTGTTTTCTGTGTGTTTTTCCCCATGGTGGTGGTCCTGGCTGCTCTGCTGTATCCAATAAAAATGTAGACACACTAGAAAAACCAACCAATCTGACCTTTAAATTCATTGGTTGCTTCAGCTCTTCCCTCCCTTTTTCCTCATAGCATTTCTAAGAAAGGATGTGTCCGTTCACAGTGGATCTCATGGCATTCGCAGGTCACCTGTTTGTTCAGATGGCTGAGTTGAACTGAACTGCTCCGTCTCTGAATACGACGAGTTCCAGCCTAGGTCTTCTCTTTTTCCCCCAGAAGACACTCACGGTGTCTTTGCTCGGGCTGCACCCCTGAGGATGAGTGTTCTGCACTCCCCCCGCGACAAACTGGTTTCAGCGTGCTGATGTCTGGCCGTATTCCAACGTACCACAGTGTTGGGGCCTGCACCGACAGCAGGATCTCTTACCAAATCCAAGATGTGGTCCAGGCCATCTGAAACCGATGCCTCAGAGCGGGCTTTCTGCTGATGCTGAGGTCTGGAATGGGATGAAGGTCTTGCCTTGGGGGAGTGTTTTTGGTAGGTTTTTTGTGGGTTGGTTTTATTTGGTTTTGGGTTTTTGTTTTTTTCCTGCCTCTGAACTTGCTATATTGTAGAAGGACGTAAAAAGATAATTCCTTTTGTGTGGAGATGATGAGAATCATGGTAAGACATTGTAAGATGGTTGTTAGGAAAATGCAGCTGCGCTCTGCAGACTCCCAAGCGGCAGGGATCATAGAATCATGAAATGCTTTGGGTTGGAAGGGACCTTAAAGATAATCTAGTTCCAACCCC